GTAATCTGTCAAAATTTAGCCACAGAAAGCCTCAGCTAGCCATGAAATCTCTCACCGTGAGAACAAATACATTTATTATAGTGAGTAGGTATGTGCCCATCTACTAGCAACCGCAGCTGAATGAGATGATAGAAGGTATGTTGGACAAAGTTATTATCCAACCATCGTCTTCTCTTTGGGCGTCTCCAATAGCACACGTTAGGAATAAGGATTGTGGAATCCGCTTGTGTGTAGACTACTGTACACTGAAGGCCATTACTCACAATGATTCTTTTCCTTTGCTGAATATTGATTCCACTTCGGAAGTATTGGCTTGAGCCCACTGGCTCACCATGCTTGGTTTAGGGTCGGGTGATTGACAAGTAGATGGGTACCCAGCCGATAAAACAGTGTTCACCAATCCTTCAGGTTTGTATGAGTTCAAGACTATGCCGAAAGTTAGCTAGTTTCATACCGCTGTTTGACCTACCTTGACCATATCACCTTCCACGATCGCTCAGTGGAAGAACACAACCATCTGCTCTGTGGAGTGCTGAATAAGCTTCGTGAGGTTAGTTTGTCACTGAAAAACAAAAGCAATTTTCCTTGGTCACAAAATACGTGACCGTGGTTAAGATGAACTTCCTAGATTTGTCGTTCCGCGATCGAAGATGCAGGACGTTGTCGCACGAGTAGATTCAGATTCTGATGAGACGGCAATGATAGGAAAAGCCATTGAGTGTTCCTTCTTGAGCGGATCGTTAAGCCAGGAAATGACAAGGTGCTGCGAGTTCTTGATGGATCTAAAAACGAAACACCCGAACCACACTCTGGTCAACCAATTACGGCTTACGTTCCCTGCACTAGCATCTCTGCTGTGTAGGTCACGTGAAATAAGGAAGATAGAGGAACGAAGGTAATTTAAATGAAGGATAACACCAAAGCGTGAGGAGAATGACAGAATATGAACTTAAAGTTGGAAAATGGATATGGTCAGGAGAAGGGAAAGGTTTCGTGTTGTCACCCAAGAGCGTCTAACTGACGCTCGAAATCTTTAACTTTAGGTTCGCTGACTACACTTTCTGGAAGCGGATTCCAACGCTCCATAACTACGCCATAACCGAGTTTCTACCCTGATCCGGTCGGAACGCGGCTTGTGTACCTTCATGGAATGACCGCGAAGACAAGGCAACCTAGCCGAGCTAAATAGCCAGCTCAAGTCCGGTGCAACCTTCCCTGTTAAAATGCGGTAAGTAAGGATTAGGTCACCTCGAAGCCGTCGCTAGTGCATTGAATACATACCCAAGCTAACTAGACACTCAGGGTACGATTGCCTCCGTAACCCATCGACCAATTTGGTACCTACTTTCAAAACCCTCTCGAGCTCCATTTTGTCCCGAACAAGGCAGGGAAGGCAAGCCTGGACGCAGTATTCCAGATGGGGCCGAACGAAAGCTGAAAACAACTTCACAACAAACAACTTCACAACTACGTTTGCTTACCTAAGTAACCATATTCTTTTATACAAGCTTCGGAGCTGTTGGATTGCTCACCCGATGTTAGGCTGGATTCATTCATTCCCACTCTATTGCCACTTGAATATGCAAGTCCCTAGCGCCATGTATTGATCGATGGAAGTTCATTTTGGAATCCCTCAATCCTCAGTATTAGGAACACGTCAATTCCTAGTGTTCAGTAACGATCTCCCGTGTGTGCTGAACTCGAACACACTACTATCTGCAGATGATCTCAAGATTTGGCAATCAAGAGAGTAGACTACCACGTAGCACTGTAAGATGATATTAACGGTGTTTACGAGTGGTAGGCTCAGAACATGCAGGGGCTTAATGCTGTCAAGTGTAAAATAATACTCATACACTACCAGTACACCTACGAGTATCGATCAAGAGAATCCGTTTCGGAACGCGCTGCTCATGAAGATACTCTTTGTATACTTGTGCAAGACGATCTCCAGTGTTTAATACGCCTCGAAAAGCAGTGAAGGATGCTAGCCTATTCATGAGCCTACTGTAATGGGAGTGTGGTCAGTTCCATTTTACCAACTTTTCAAAAACAAGCAACGCGTAGTTACGCGTAATTGAGTCCACAGGTGGAATACGACATTCAGGTTTAGTACACGTGGAAAAACGATGATGTCGCTGCTCTTGAGGAGCAGCATTACCAACAGACTAAAACGTTAAGGATTCGCTGCTTCTCCCTTACCATTTAAGCGAAATATTCCAGGAGCTCACGGTGAATTATATCCTAGCTTACGAGAGGTCAGATGTTGATGTTTCAGATCCTAAAGGATCCTAAGCACATTTTTCTGTCTTTTGTTGAAATATAGCCACCGCACTTCAAGAGAGAGAGCACCACTCGAATTTAGCTACACAAAATAACCGTTTGCAATGCAGCCGAAATATTTACCTTATTCTTAGATCCCAGCCGCGGAACGTCCTTTCGTTTGCTATCTTCTTCACTCCGACGTTACCTGATTTCCAGCTTCGCCTTGATGATGCAATACATCAGCTTCATCATGGAAGGCCAGGAAAGAGCCTTCTTCACTTAGACTACAGAATAACGTCTTTTGTGGCCTACAACCTGGGTAAAAATGCTTGCGTAGGCACATTACGTTCTCCTAGGTGTAAAGCCATTCCAGTACGAATGAGTCAAATTCACAAAGAGCGACGCGACACTATGCGAAACAAAAGGGACCTTAACTTAGCTGACCTTTCAATAATCACTTTATGTAAATGCCATCAAAACGTTATGCCACGCACCGCGGTGACGCTCACGGTGCATCACCCACAGAAACTGTTCCATTGGTTTCTAACTGAACGGGACTGTAAGCACATAATGGATATAAACCCCATCACTAAATACAGTGCTGTCGTTAATTCACAATTACTCGAAATATGACAACCAAGGAACTATCACTGAAATGCCGACTGTCACCCCCTTTATGACGATGTTAGAAGCCGCCAACATAAGTAGTTGTTTCGGCAGACATGTTTTATAAATATTCTATACAAGTCTACTGCGCCATGTTTAAACACTCCGGTGGTAAGTTTGAACTTTTCGGTGTCACAGTCAAGTGGAGTTACTATGCTATGTAGTGGTTTATTACGGATGCATGTAATCGTTTCTCTCCTGTCTTTAGTTTTATTGTTGCACTCAAGTGATCCACTTAATAGCACTATACATGTATTAAGTGGATGAGAAGCACACTTAATTTGCAGAGAAAGACTGTTATCCGTGCTGACCACTGGCTGAGCTAAATGACGTTATGTTATTTTTCCCAATCTAAAAAGCGCATCCGGTTGATCACCGCTTGAATCAGATAACCCCTTGATGGAAGATGTTTGTATTCTTGATCTTTACAGACGAAGATCATTGAAATGGCCAGTCGTATTATACATCAAATGAGAGCAATTAGGTGAAGGGTGCATCTCTGTTGCGTGTGAAAGTACCTCAAATGTTGAAAGATTCTCGCATACCTTTTTAACATGTTGACACTGATTGGATTTCTAATGTCAGTCTAATGTAAACTAGACGCTTATTCCGCACACTTATTCAATGCTGTGGAAGAATCACAATTCATAAGAATCGATTAGAAAACGATGAAATCACCGATCGATTAATTTATTCCCTGTTGTATTCAGTTAGGGTCGCAGTGAATAAGAAGTACGTCGTTGGTGTCATTTGTTTTGTTACAGCCTCGAAAAACATGGTGCATTTATACAAATATCAAGTAAATACATTGAGCGTGTAAAAAACAGATAAACGTTAAATATCACCTCCATAACATACCAAGTTGGGTCAAATCGACTCAGGAGCGTAATTCTCGCGTTTGCATCGAATCTAATTGGCTTCGCATGTATGGTGCCTGCATTGAATTCACGGCAGCGCTCAAGTTATTCATAGGTCACATGAGCTGATAAAGCAAAGACGTATCTGAAGGGCAAACATGGAATACTGCCTTGGCTTTTCTTGCAGTTACCATCCTAGGCGACTAAATGCTGCCTATGATTTGCACATTTATATTTCTGATAATAATATGCCTATTAACTCTCGATATTTAATTAGATTTCCTTTCACAAAATTCACGGTTGACATTATGGGGCAGTAGATAGTTGACTGCAGGTGGCGACTGAGAAACCTTTTTCTGCCACAAGCCCTAGTTTATTTTTCTTGCACACAGTTTCCATTCATATGGACGTAAAACTAACTTGGTTACCGCCCACGTGAGTCAGTATTGCCTGAAATACTGAGTACTGATCCTGGGCTGGTAAGCACTCATTACAGTTTAAGACAGCCGAATAGGTGGCCAGGCATTAAGTGAAATAACGTCTTGCATTCCCCATGGAAAAGAGAAAGATCATAGCATTTTTGTGTGGTGGTATGTCCTGAGACACATGATAAAATCAGGCGAAACAGCGATTTCTAAAACTCGCAACATTGCTTATTTATTCGCATTAATATATATATATATATAACCGTGTATTCTTGGAAAAACGAGCCAGTATTGCATTGCGTGAACAGTGAAACGAGGTTTTCGTGTAATGTCACTTGTAAAATTTTGCCATCTGTTGGTTGGGGTAGCAGTTCAGAGTGAAATCTGCATTGTTATGTATCACTTCATGTTATTTTCAAGACAACTTTGAAACGTCTGCGTAGAGCGCAAATCACGGATCTAACGTTTATTCCTATCACAACCAACAGCAACTGTCAACCATACAGGTCCGCGGTTGTCACGCATGGAGAAGTGGCACTAGCTGCAGGCATCCGGAACCGATGGGGGCGGAAACTGGCAGGGGTCCACTGGAGGACGCACCACAGAAGGTCGAACCACCGGTGTCTGGGGCTTTTCCAGACTAGCCTAAGCTTGCCGACTGAGAGTAGACTGTGATGAACTATCTCTAATCAACATAAGTTTTCGTTCAATAGAGCAAAACATACACGGGGTCCACAATATCTGAACTTAGGAGCAGCAAGCCCAAAAATGAAGACAAGCATTTGCTTTACCAAGGCAACGTATACAAGACTAATTTTAGGGTTTTAGGGAGTTGACTTGCCTCTTGCCGACATCGGTCTTTCGCAGTTTCGTCGAATTCGTTTATCTTCATGACAAGCTCGTCTTTAGAAACTTCAATGATGAGGATGGATACATAGGCTGAAGAGTGATTGAAAAAGAGTTTAGCATGCATAGAACAGTTCGTAAGCAGCCAAAACGTTTTGTCACAATTTTAGATGCGTTAACTGCTAAACATACCCATATCTCGTTAGATGTTTCAAAGTTATTTTCATCAACATTCGATTAACCCCACCCTTAAATCTAGACTGCCATTGAAACAGTATCGAAATGACTCATTATGCATCTGGGTTGAGTCATTCAAATGGTTCGGAACATTAGATCAACCAGTGCGATGCTCAGTGTGCCGCAGTCTACAGACCTATGTGGATCATATTCCAAACTTGTCAAGGGGGCCTTCCGTGCCGTAACTGTTGCAATAATTTCCTTGAAGAATGAGTCGGACATAAATCTAGTGCGGCCAAAGCATTAAACCAAACTGATTTTCTATGGTTCTGCATGGGATGCACATCGATCCCACTGATTAAAATCGTACCCCTATTATCTCAGAAGTATGACCAGCCACTAGCCAAGCTTTTTGCGGAAATGGCGACCACCAAAATCATCACGGTTGGGGTAAGATTGGACGAATGTGCAACCCAATTTACCCCGTAAGTGCTTCTCCTATGCTGAGGAGAAAGGATAGTAACACAGTAAAAAACGGCACCAAGAGCCCAGTAAATCAACTTCTGTTCCAGGACCAGATGTGGATCATATTTGACTAATGCGGTTCCCAATTCAATAGGAGAAATTACACGTAAGGCCACTTCCAACCTCCCGACGGAGTGCGAAGATAAAGAGCAAGCTAGTACTAGTGAAAGTTGGGTTACGGTTGCTTCCAAGAAGAGCCGTTGTTTAAAATTAACATCAGCTCCAACTGGATCAGAAACTGAGGTGCGTGGCGAAGTTCTTCTGGTGCATACACCACCGGTTCCCTGTGGTACATCGAGTATTTCAATCACTAACCGAGACATGTCGAAAGGTGTAAAGAAACGATGAACTGTACCAAATGCACTGTCCTCCAATATCCCAGAATCAAAGTCGCTATCAATAAGAGGAAGGCCGTTGGATGACCTCAACCAATGGCACATTAGTAATAACATAATCGGTTGTACTGAAAGCTGTACGCGTAGTGCGTATTACGTGGCACCCTAACTCTTACTATTATACCTCATTATACGCGTTAGCTGGAGGTGGAAAATATCGCAGCTACTGTGCCGCAATACCTACGGGAAAAAAGAGAATAAAATGCCGCAGGTGCAAGCCAGCTGAGCTACGGGTAACAGATGGGCATCGTTCCGGTAAGCTACCTGCCGGCTACTATGCAGCATAAAAAATAACTTACTATGCATAATTATAAAAGATTAAATAGTGCGATCGTGGGTGGATGGGGAGGCTAAGAGGGATGGGGTGGGACAAAGAAACTCACAGCATGAACGCCACTGAGGTCGGCTCCTAGCCATATCAGCAAGTGTGTCCAACCAGACGTGTTCATCGTCTTTCGGACCCCAACCAGTGAGCCGAGACGCTCCAACCGAGGCCAGCTTCGAAGTGAGGGCCTTCATTCCTCTCGACCAAGTCATCACTTGGCCAACTCTCATCTTCTTCTATCCGCACCCCCGGCACGCGAACAACGCACCCCGTAGGAGTCGGTGGGCTGGCATGCGTAACACGTGGCCAAACCATCGGAGCCTGGTGCGTGAAATGACGGTGCTGTGCGGTTCATTTCCTTTTCCTGTGCCGTAAACAAGGCGTCAAACACGCTCGTTACTCACGCGGTGTTCCCACCAGATGTGAGCCAAACTGCGAAGACACCGATGGTCGAACGTAATTAGCCTCTTTATATCCGCTGATCTCAGGGACCAGGTTTCACAACCGTACAGTAGGGTCAAACTTACTGATGTATTGTACACTCTACCCTTCAGGGCGATAGTGATGTCGCACCGGCGCCATAAGTGGCGAAGGTAAACAAAAGCACTTGGAGTTTTTGCTATACGGTTCGTGATCCCAACTACAATCTTACGGGAGCTGATAAAACTTCCCAATATTTGCATTTCTGTACGACTTCAAGCTGATCGCTACCAAGGGTCAGGAAATGTGGCGGTCTAATCCAATCTTGGAGGAACGCTTTGCACTTCGAAGATGCAAAGCAAAGCCCGAAGTGACGGACAGCCAGTACTAATCTGTCCAGTGCCGCTTGGTACGTCTGGGATCTGTCACATATTAGGGCAAAATCTCAGCATACCCCAAGTCAAGAAGTCGTTCTCCTGGGATCACATCCACACCTTCTAAATCGTGTCCTGTGAACGCGATCTCCATGACTTCATCAATAGCGAGGTTGAAGAGAAAAAGTGAAAAAAGGCATCCTTGTCACACCACTGGAGATATTACAGGGTAGCGACAGCTTGCTGTAAGCCCTCACTCTGCCGGAGCTACGCGCGTACAATGATCGGATAATATTTACATATTTCTCAGGTACACGTTTCCTGAGTAGACAGTCACAAAGTGCATGTCTGTCCACAGAATCGAATGCACCTTCGATATCGAGGAACACGACAATGGTGGGCCGCCAATATATGTGACGGTGCTCCAACAACTGACGCAAAGTGAAGATGTGGTCAATGCAGACATGACCTCGATGAAACCCGGATTGCTCTTCGCGAATATGGCTTTTACAAGAGGCAGTCAGTCTGTGTAGGATGACAGAGGCCAGCAATTTGGAGCAAATGCAGATCAGACTGATTCCTGTATGATTGCCGCATTCAAATCGTGAGCCTCCCTTGAAAATTGTGACTATGACGGAGCGGCTCCAGTCCGTTGGGACAGTCTCCTGCTCCCACAGTTTCACTAGTAACTCGTGTAAATCATACACAAGAGCAGGTCCAACCAATTTCAAGAGGGATGGAGGAAGATCACCTGGTCCCGCGGCTTTATGTAACTTCAACATTGCGAACTCAAGTTCGAGTTCTGAGCGAGAGGGTGCATCTAAAGGGATAGCTCAAGGAGCGTGGCGATCAGTGGCCGGCGAGAAATTTAATACATCCGACCGATTAAATATCCGTTCAAAATGCTTAGCCCAACGCCCCAAGAGTATTGGCAGGTTATGGATAAGCTGTCCACTCTCGTCACGTATAGTTTCATTAACACGAATGAGTAGATTTGCATCGCGCGAACGTGGGATGAATTAAAAAGTACCGACAGAGCAAAATGGATGATATCAGAACATGAGTGTCGACAAAATTTGAAGGAATTCGGACTTCTGATGAAAGTCACACTATATCACGAATAACTGAGCATCAGTAAAATTATACAGTTGTACGTGTACTTGCTTATATTTCTGTGCAGTTAATGACATTTACATACCTATTAGTAGTGCACTATGAAACGTATAAGCGTATCGGCAGGTATCGTGAGTTAATCCATTGTAGGGAATTTCTGGAGTGTAAAATAAACCTAAAATATTCGGCTTTTGAGCACGGTTACTTTTTGCATGAGTTATTGATCTGCCGATTTGTCTGAGGTGCTCACTTAGTAAATCCAGGAAAATTAATTGAGAGTAACACACAAAAGGAGGAGGAATACAGGCAGTGCAAAGAAGCAAGGTATCAAATTATGTGGGCGAGACCAGGATCGCAGATGCCAGGCATGGATTCAAGGTCCCACAACATTTAGTACTTTCCTTTGTAATAATGGAACAAAAGAAATGAAAGTTAAGTGAGACCTAGGTTATTTCTAATGGGTATACATGCAGCACCACAAAAGTGATGATCCATTTCTGGCACTAATTGAGCAGCTGTTTATGTCAATTTCAACTGTGCAGCGGAGTAACCATGTCATAGCAAGTTGACAAATCAAACGACAGTTCTCGGACATTCAAGCAAGCCGCAGGATCCTTAAGAGTATGCTTTAATATGACTGACGAGGCAATGGTCCATGGAATGAAGTCCACTACTGTGTTATCTGCACACTTCAAAATGGTCGCCTATTTCAAAGAACTGCTTTGCATAAATTGAACACTAATCGCTTTTCTGCCAGTCAGACAAACACATCGATCAGAGTATTCATTTGGACTGTGCTTCACACTGCTGAAGTGTATAGCGCTTATAGTTTAATTGTTTGTTTAAAAATGGCTTAGTGATCCAATTCAAGTTGACACCACAATAGACTTTCAACCCACACATGAACGTGGGATACAAAAGCGCAATAGCTAATAACATCGTAGTCTAAAGAGTAGTGATTTCCGTCGGAACTGCTATTCCGGGAAATACTTTACAGGCTCAGTTGTATTTGTCTTCAATTCGAAATCAATAAAATTGTTTAGGTAGCGAGTTGAGACGCAAAGGATCCTCATAACGAATACAGTTCCTTTTACACAATTCAGCTGTTGAACTTAACCGATGTATAACCAAGAAAACGTCCATTTATGTTACGTGGAAAATTTCGTTTTACTTACCGTTCACAAATCCGGTTAAAGTTACTAGGGCTGCTAAAGTCGTCGGTTGTAGAAGGATCATTTTGTGCGCACTGGTGTGAGTTGAACCTACGTGCAATATATACCGATAAACAAAGATAAACCTACTCACTGAAACGGTAGCGGATAATTACACACTGTGCGTGAGTCCGCGGTCTAGTCTCGTACTGCATCCACAGAGCCCAGATGGTTGAGTTCACTTTGCGGTAGCACTACCACAAAACTGCTCAGCCCTGAAAACAATGGTCACACTGAGCGTAGAAGCAGCATGGATTAGTTGGATTTAGGTCAGATACTAAGCCACAGAAGTAGAGAGGTTCCTTGGTGGCTACTTTGCCGTTGAATATCACGAAAGATTTTATTGTGCCACCTACAGATTTGTACGAAAACACTAAGGTCATCCAACTTGTTGTGAACGTTGCCAACAAAACATAGCACATTGAAAGAAAGGCGCATAAATGTAAGTGATTAACAAGCCACAGCCACCTATTAATCTGTCCACTCTCGTCACGTATAACCCTAACTCTAAGCATTACGGAGAGCCAAGACTGCTGCACGTTGTGCTGAACTCCATCAATGAAGTCGAATCAGTTCTACTGTCGACAAGTAGTCTACGAGATGAACACTGCTCCAGCCGTATCTTTCCATACTTCCTATGAGGCGAGCGTTATCGAGTTACCCAGCCCTTAGAGGACTACAGGAAGGAAAATGCACCCTCCTACAGATGACATGTCATTCAAGGAACCAAACGCGATGGGACCTATCAAAGAACAATGCACCAGTAGTGTGTCTACTGAGCCCATACAACCTGTAGAAGATGATACTGACCAGAAACCTTACGCTGAACGTAGAAGATTAGACACGGATCTAACTATGCAGACACTGTATAAAAGTTTGAACACTTTGCCAAGTACACATCGAAAGATAGGATTAGTCGCCGCCCACTCGTCGTTCGGCGATGCTACACGTATGAGTTGCACGACCTCCGAAGCGTTGCTTAAATCCGAGAAACGTTCATGTATGTATACTAACGCCCAAGAGCTCTTCAGTAAACCTACCGAACTTCGGCTACGTCAAGTTGCAAATGCTTGGGATCTAATTTCTATTACCGAAACATTGTTGTACTGATAATTGACTGATGGTGAGATTGAGATAACAGGAATGTCACCCTTCCGGAACGATTGCCCAAACAGAGGAGGGTGCGTCCTTCTATACTACCACAACAACCTGCAGCGTGCAGTAGTCGGTGAGCTAGAAACGTACTTGACTGACTCACTCTGGTGCCGTCCCTGACTAAGACACAACGACGATGACTCGTAGCTGTAGTTTACCGCCCCCAAACGGCCACTCCGGAAATAGGTTCCCGCTTGCTGCGTGCCTTGGACAGGGTAACGCGCACTAGGTACAGACACATTCTCATCTCGGGGGATTTCATTCTACACGATCTGGAGGTTTCGGCATCGTCCATTGAACAGTTCACAGCGGACTTGCATGAACGTATCACTAATCTTTCAGTGTACGATAATGTCACCACGCCCACTGAATTCAGGACAGCAAACAAACCACCCATATTGGACCTTGTGCTCAAGAATGAAGAGCTCGTGGTTGGCAAGTTATTGATGGAGAGTCCAGTAGAGCTCAGTGACCACATAGTAATGACCTTAAAGTATGTGTGTTATGCAGAGTATTCCCCTGGACACTCAGGAGTTACTCAAACAGTCACACGCTATCACGTCTTGAAAGAACCGGTTGAAGCACCTGCTTGCGAATTCTCAAACAATAGTCCTCTTGACATCGTTTGTACATATTTCGTTGATAGACTCAGCGACCTCGTCAACAGCGCATCAGAGACCAAGCTTCCTCGTCCCACGAAAGTGACTGCAGTTCTAAGGAATATCATTCGGAATTGCATGGGGATAAGGGATGCAGCATAGCTTGTCTACAATGTTAAGGCCGACTGAGAGATTTGAGGCACTTTCCTAACATAGAGAAACATTTGCACTGCACTATTCCGTGAAGAAGGACAAACGCTACAACGTTGCCTAAACACAACTTCGTGGCAAACAACAAACTGCTATACACTAATGTCAAAAAGCTCCGTATATTGAAGCATGGCATCTTACACTTTTCGAGATGGGCAGTAGATACAAGGTGCCGAAGGAGCAGCTAATGTCCTGAGCCCACAATTCGCCCCAATTTTGAATTCGCAGCCTCTTTCTGTTCTATAATGTCAAGCACATGACCTACTCCATTGTTTTCACATGTAAATTTCAACTTATCTATTTGCTGAGAAAGTTACTCTCCCTACACGATCATAGCTCTTCGGGTCAGACATCATTCGCCAGAAAACAAAGAAGGCTGCGGCCACGAAGTGGGCCGGCCCTTGATTCGCTTAGGTGTCGGGAATTTAGAGGCTGACAGATAATTGTCCCACTGCTTCCAATATGATGGCCTACGCTCAGGTCCTAGTTTCCCACTCGTGTTACCCGTGGGTGGGTTTGTTTTACACAATTTTCTAGCTAACATCTAGGATACACAATTTCACGTGCGTCGATTCATTGGCTCTTGGGGCTAAACTCACTGCCTTTCGGATGTATTCCTTATCGAAGTCTTTGGTTGAAGACATGAGTTGTTTATCTGTCAGGTGTGGACGCCATGGCATTGTCCTAGTTCAGTCAACAAATATGAACTATGCCAATAAGTATAAATTCATGCCGCGTCCCCCGTCTCGCAGTGGACTTAGGTAATGGTTCCCCTAATCTGCTGTTTACAGTGTCGTGGAATAAACATAAACATGCAGCTGCTTGCGCCTCTCTTCTTGCTTCTTCCCATGCTCATTCTTTTCCCTTCGCCGTTTCAACTTAACCACTACCCCTTCCAATCCAGATGGTCGCCGCTCAGACTATTGCCCACCAACGCACTCGGATGCCTCCGCGCAAAGCCTACAACATCGTGTGCTGGATCATGCGCACACTACTCGACCGGAATACGAGTGAGCATCCCGAGCGACGCGCTGCGCTGGTCACGTTAGAACTGGCGCAGAACAACAACGTTACTACGGTGCTCAGCGATAGCCGACTCGCTCAGTGATGTAAATTGTATGAAGGTAGTGCTGGCTAAACGCTTTACTGGGTGGGAACCGCCACGTTAGCACCAAGTGAGCATAGGGTCGATTTGCATTCCCATCGCATAAATAAGCAGGTGGTGGGTGAGCCCACTGACTTTAGTGCGCGACTGAAGACTGTTCGCCTGCAACTCGGAGGAGGTACTTTCACCACTTTTCTGAGCCATTCGTTCTCCGGTGACACGCGTGTCCAAATCTACACGCGAGTATCCGTGCTAGAGGTTGTGACGAAAAGGGACCGACACATTTTATTTATGATTTTCACGTGCGCGTACGGCGTGTTGCATCGATGTGGACGAGTATTATCGGTCCGCATGGCATTGGTTCAGCGGAAGCGAACGGTGACAGGCTGCCCTCACATTGTGCCAATCAGCCTGATAATCACGGACGCCCGGTTTGCACTGAGTGCGAGTGAGATGGCAAATTGGACGCACAAACAGAATTGTTAAGCTCACCTGCCCGATTATGTCTTCGTACGTCAGCGTAACGTGCGTGAAGTGCGCGTGACACGTGTACTACGAGGAGTTGAGTGTGGTACTGATCGCCACCATTTGGTGCGGATCAAATTGTATATCTACTAACGGAAAAGTACGTATTGTGTGCCAGCCGTGAACCGGAGGCGTAAATTTAACATTGTCTCCTTCGAAAATGCGGAGTAATATACCATGATGGAGTAGACGAAAGCTGTACGCATGTGTGATATGGAATGCATAGCCACAATGGGCGACTTGCGGCACCACATTTGCGACCAGGCGAGAGCCGATGCTGACTAAACCATCGGCCGGGAAGCCGTAAGTAACCTGATCGCTTTGATGAGAACAAGGCAACGATTGACTCATTGGTGTCGGAGAAGAATGCAGCATTTGTTGCACGTATGGCAGCTCCCAGTGACTTGGGGAAGAAGAGCGTTTCGAATAATTCGACGGCGACTGAACCAGCACTTGCTCAGCTGAGTAACGTCAAGTGTGCCAGTGCCGGCATGATCCCGCCTGAAGCATTGAAACACGGCGGACCCGACCTGGTGAATATGCTGCACTCGTTGGTACCGCGCGCGTGGATTGAGGAGATGCCTCCCACGTTTAATGAATGCTTTTGTGCTACCGCTGTTCAATGGCAAAGAGGGCACGCGATGATTCACGAATTTTCGTAGTATCTAGTTGCTGATTTGTGTGGGCAAGGTGTTTGCCCGAATCCTGCTCAACCTCCACGTTAGTCAGGTTGGGGAACCGAAAGTGGCGGAAGCGCAACGAAGTGTACGCCATCGAAGTCGAGCGCATGGATAGGGAATGCATGTGGTCCCGATTGCCTGAGTCAGGCAGATTTATTGAGCTGGTAGCTAGATGGGTCGGTAGAGCACAGAAACTGCATCGTGTTCTTCAAAGTTGAAGATAACGAGCACGCTGTGTGGTTGGGTTGCGCGTCGCAACTTCTATTGACACCTCGGTTTAATTTCTGGTAAACCCAGGACATTCCGATGACAAGGACAGTATCTAGAATGCCTCTGTGTTCCAACCCAGCTCAGGCTATCTCCACCTGATAAGTCCAACCCAGGACGAAACCGCGGTCTTGGGGTGTCAGTGTTGGGAGAAGCAAACCCCCAATACTTCCATTCCGGATACGGTCCTTGCAGTCGAAAGGATCGAGGTTTACCTCAAATTGAATCGAGGCATCAATAGAGGTTGCGCGTCGCTACCCAACCACACAGCGTGTTCGCTAAATGCAACGTTGAATTGCTTTCCGCTGTGCCAAGTTTTGCTCGCGGGTCTCAATACCATGGTGTTCAGCGCGTCAGCCGTGAACTACTATGTTCTGAGTTGCACCACAGCTCAGGCTATCTCCAACTGATGAGTACAAACCAGGACGAAACCGCAGTTGTGGTGTGCCAGTGTTAGGAGGAACAACAACCAAATCTTTCCACTAGCATGTCCTGCTGTGTTGTTACTGAGTAATAGTTCATTGTTTGTAATTATGCTTCATGCACTTCCAATCAATTTAAAAACCGCTTGCTTTCGTGCTGATCTTCGTCGTTGCAAGTGATTCGTTTGGTTTGATATATAGACCTAATTCTAATTTGTTACCAACTTTTAATGGCTAACGGAATAATCTTCTAGTCATATTCACAAGTTGTTAAACGAATTTATCTTCGTTGCTTTTTCCGCGTTTGTTACATAATTTTACCTCCTTTCCCCATATCTTGAATTTATCGCGATTTTATTGGTTCCATATTTATTTCAGACGCTTATTTCGCGACAAGTTATGTCGGCATATCCATATGCTTAGTAAGATTTTGTGCTTTAAAATAGATATCTCAAGTGATTGGCTATTGAGCGACATCCCTTTGATGTTGGCTTTCGTGTGCGAACACCAAGCTCACGTAATGAATAAGTAAGTAAGTAATAAGTAACCTGTTGATTATCAGACTGTACTCGAGAAACTTCAGCGAGTTGTTTTGTCCAATTGCAACTTGACTGCTGAATTTTATAATTTTGCAACACTCAGATATACTTATTAACGGTTACTAATAATTAATGTACCCATTTGCGTCATTTCGCATCTTTAGTACGTTTTGTTTTACAATGCCATCCTTGTGACGCGCTCGTATTGGTTACTGACTGATCAACCTGCGGATTTACTGTTGAATTGTTTTGTGCGTGTGTCTTCAATTATTCTTAAGGCTATTGTATTGTATGATTATGAGTACGATTTTAGAATCACGGTTTAATATTACGATTCATTCTTCCCACCGCCAATATTTCTACCCCACAGACCGTGTAATTGTCTAGTGGTTCGGCCCGCTTTCTGTATACACAGTAGTAACATAAGTTGCATAATTGCGACTCACTGTTAAATGAGTGGACTTAATGAAACGTCTGCCACTGAACTATCACAGGAGGAGGATAGATTGAAACCGATGTCATGTGCTGAGCAGTTGTCTGTTGCCTTACGTAGAAGTAGCGAATTTGAACAAAACCAAGATTCATCAGTCCTTTTGAAGAGAATGTAGGATTAACTGGCAATGTCACACTGGGTAGTCAGTCAGAATGTGAACCATTTAAATGTGACTTCACCAATTTTTTCCGATGCATGTGCCGATAAATGTTCTACAACCATCCCGAACTCGGCTCGGTTATGCCAAGTGGCTGTTAACGTGAATTCCGCCCCTGTTGCCACCGTTCGAAACCCCAAATGATACCTACAACAGGATGCGAAGTTGTCGATATATTGAGTTTGGCGTGGTAGTTTCTAACGTTGGTACTTTGGAGAACATCTCCGGGATACCAAAAGGGAGTTACTGCGTTTTGACGGTGATCCCTTGCGTTATGTGATGTTTATTCCTAGCTTTCAAGCAAGCGCGTTAAATGCAACGACAAACCCTAAGGCACCTTACCTTACCTTATGAACTACAGCGGGAGGCAGGCTAGAGAAGCAATGGAGGCTTGGATGAAATTAGAATTGCATGTCGGACACCGGGATGCATTACAGAGGTCAAAATCCAGGCTTGAGCGTTCACATTTGATAGCCAGAGCGCACCAGGATCATTTAGGCAAAGGATCGCCTATAACGGTCAATGATTCGGACGAGTTCTGTAGACTAGCCGGACAAATGAAGGCTTGCCTCAGTGTAATCCAACAGCAGCATTAGCAAGCTGATATGAACGTGACTGCGACAAACGCAGCTGTTGTCAGAAGACTTCCGTACAACCAGCAGATTGAGTGATCCGAGCAGACAGTCGGCATCCTTCAAACATGTGGAGCCCATTTTTGAAGACTTCTATCATTCTGGTTGCGATTGTGCGGAGATCGTCGCTGCCCAAGAAATGTATTAACATGAGATAGTAACTAGGTGTAAGCGTCCACAGTGCTTCAACCGCCCTAAGACTAGAGAAAACCACGTACATGCTTTAACACTAAGAAAAGGGACGCAGCTCGGACTCAAACTCATCCCCTTATGTGTTGACAGACTCATTATTTGATTCATCGGCCTCGGTTTCTCTCGACGAAAAACCGTCAAATTCTCTCACCTATATCAGAGGAAGATTTATGTGGATTATGCCTGAAACCGAACCGTCTGTCAAACAACTGCAAATCCAGGTTTGCTTGTGGACTAGATGGTTGCCAGTTAAAGCACCACTCCCTGCTGCACGATGCCCAGGTAGTATAAACACCTCCAATTCCGTTGCGAATGAGAGGTCAGATTCTGTAAATCGTGTTGCCTTGGGAGTCATACCGGTAAAGCTCCGTGGCAAAGGCAAAGTTATAGTGACGTACGCTCTACTCGATCCTAGCTCCGATACCTCGTAGATTGAAGAGAAACTGCTGCACGAGATTCAGCTGCAAACAGAACCGTTGGTAGTTTGAATATCCAACATAGATGGAGAGCCAAGTGTAACGCGCTTATTTATCCATGAAATTCTTCTACTCTTCGCTTCGTGGTCTAGTCTGCAGACCTTGGCCGATCGTTGATGGATATCGACCAGCGTTCACGTGCGCCTGCTTACATTCCCATTGTTAGCGTTGTACGTCTGTATGTGTGTGCATGCTAATCCCCGGCACTGGTTCCGTGCGTGTGCGTCTGCCGCCGACATTGGATCTCCAACCCTACTCTTCGCCGAACATGACACGTTCATCCCGGAGCATGTGTCGCACCCCCTCCCCGTTCACTGGTCGCTCATCCAAACACCATGTTTATGCGTGCCATTAAACTCTCACCCTGTGATTGGACCATTCATTGATTGGTCCACGCCATTATGCTTAATACTCGTAGCACTCAGGTGTGGTGACTTGTTCCTTTAATTGTCCGGCGTAGACAACTCGTTCCCTCTTATTGTTTACTGACACCTTGTTGTCAACTTGCATACACCGGGATACTGAACGATTGAAGTATGTCCCAATTATCAACTGTATATATTTTAATAGTACCGTAGTTTTTGTGATCCGACTTGTTTTGATTTTGGGATCTTTGGCTACGCCTTATTCTACGTTCACGGTGGACGTTGCACCAAGCGTTCGCTCAAAGGCGGCAAAATTGGCGCTACTGGTACTGGAAGGATGTGAACCCATTTTGGTGGACCACCCCAGGTCAGTTCAGATGATGTCTCGAGTCAAGCGCGTAATACAAGAGTCTAAATGTCTACCGCGCTAGGAACACCCAAAAGCTTTGCAACTCGCGGATAATCGAACTCAACACATTGATGTTTTTATAGGTATGAATGTCATACATGCTCATTGGATACTCGAGCAGCGCTATTGAATACCTTCGGAACCGTTAGCAGTGCGGACACCGTTGGGTTGGATCATGCTGGGACCGGTTGAAGGATCAGACACACAAACAAACTGCGCAAACACTTTGTGTGGACCATCTAAACTCCCGCTTTATCATGGGAATGTATGAGATGGCGTATGATCCAGCGTCCCCAACAAAGGAACCCGAAGATGTGCCGATGTTGTTGGATCTCTCCATCATACCTCTGTCTGGTTCTACTCCGATTACCGTCAGTTCGGCAAATGTGACTGAGATTCCCCTCCCACCAGCGGACATCAATGCACTGAAAATACCGCTACCTCATGCTGCTGCTGATGAGGCGCATTATCCCCTCGCCAGCATCCCGCAAATTACAGTCCAACCTCTGAAGCCTGATCAGCCCGAAGCAGAACCTCCTTCCGGTCCGTTGAAATTTAGCTTTCGGATAAGCTCTAAACCTTTTAACAGTGATGCTTCTGAAGAGCCAGGTAATTTCGAATATTGAAGAGACTTGAAACCCAAATAAACGTGTTCAATTCCGAATCTGCAATCCATAATGAAATGCTCAAAATAGTCTTAACTTCTCGTCGGTGTTTACCGTCCAAAACAAAAGTACCGTGACTGAAACAAAGAGCGAGCTTCTTTTACATTAAAAGACAGGGATATCGATGACAGCATTTGAGCGCCACTGAAGCAGCAAAGGCTGCCGTTGCGGCTGCCGGGCTTCCCTTGTCTCAGTCCAATGTTCGATTTAACCATCCAACCATAACGATATCGGATTCCGATGACCTTCAACAGTTGCTAAAGATATTGTTAATAACAGTCAGAGGCGCTCCTTACTTTCATTTGATACCATAAGCGCACTGTCTATCCCGAGAACCGTCACTGCGCTCACGTTATCGTACACAGTTTCTCTCACACCGCATACTACGACCTCAGGAGAGACAGTCCACATTCCGAACCTAATGAGCCTTAAGCTTAATCCAGTGACAACGAATTCCTCGCAGGAAACTGCGGCTTTTCTGTTGTCGAACTCAGTTGCCATGTTTCCATGTATTTGTTACGCTGAGCTGATCTAACATGCAGTAGGCAAATCTACAGAACTTATGTTCTGCTTTGATGATTGCAACGATTTGATTGCTAACCCAGCGGTTACTGCTTAGCCTTACCATAACGACGATCAATCGAAATCTAGGGATAGTCGCAAACGCTCCACGTCACGGTCAACCAGAAAGTCTAAACGTTCGAGATCTAGCCGGTTCCATTCCTTAGGCGTGGTGTTCCCATAAAAACTTACGTCGATAACGGATTAAATGGGCATGCAGCAGAAGGCAATTTGAAAGCACAAATTCAGTCATGCAACCAAGACAAAGTACAAAGGCCCCTAAGGGGAAGAAACTACAAATGGATATGCAATCCATCTTAGCGCAGTCAACGTGGAGGTGCTTAAAACCTTTAAGCCTCCCGATACCAAGAGTACTTCGAATGTTACAGGGCAAACAACGCGTTAGTGATGAAGTACTGCAGACAGCGATTGTTGAGATCGAACAGATCCTCAGTCAGTAACGTCTAACCCAGGACATCTAGATGAACTCGGGACCATAGCGTCAAACCAGCTCTTAAACTTAACTGCTGACAGGACCCTGGAGACGGCGCGGACAGGCATCAAAAATAGGTTTAATGCGATAGTGGTAATAACTTCAGCAGTTGTCAGATGCGTTTTGGAGTATGTGGCTTAGTGCTTACTTACCTACAATGCAAGAACGACAAAGGTGGCACGAACTAAACCGCAAGTTACACGTTAGCGACTTAGTTCTGGCGGCAGACTTACGCACCACGAGTGATCTGGGGCTGAAGCCCATGGTGGAACAATTAAGAATGGGGCGCGATAAGCTAATTCGAGGAATGATTGTTCGCACGAACAAAAAAGAATCCGGAGAGATGTGAAATAGTTATATATACTGGAAGAGATATTGTACGAAGAAGCTACGGTTGAGGCGGGTGAAGCTGGCAGTAGTGTGTATTCGAAATGCATGACAGTGAACGCATTGCCTGGCAATTACTAAATATTACTGACTAGTAGAAGTGAGGATGTTGGTATAATTCCGCTGATTCATGATGGTCAATTCCAATCAGCAGGCTTAGGCTAGTCTGGAATTACAGCAGACGCCGGCGTTTCGACGTTATTGGTCGCGTCAGTAGTGCGCCTCCCAGCGGAACAATGCCGATTTCCACCCCCATGACCGCAGGAGGCAAGTAGCAGGTGCCAGTTCGCCGTGTCTGACAAACACGGACATGCGTGATTAATAGTTGACCAGGATATAGCCCGACACATTATGCCCTGCCATGCCAGTTACGAACTGTGCAGAGGACAGCGGCTAGCTTGACGAGGTAGTACTCTCTGCATGGCTCCTTTGTATGACATAGGATATAGAAGATACACGGATAGACTTTATATGAGTGATTAGCAGTGTTGTGGACTTTGGTGTAATTGCGCTAATTCATCATCGTCACTCATACGCAACAGGATTAGACTAGTCTGAAAATGCAACAGACGCCGGCGTTTCGACTTTTTGTGTCGCGGCGGTGGTGCGTCTCGCAGTGAACCTCTTCCGGGATCTGCCCCCAATGATATCGAGGTGCCATCATCTAATGCCACTTCGCCATGGGTGACAGCCACCACTACGCAACAGTAATATAAAATATGCCCCCGGAGCTTCTACTTCCTGCATTGTACATAGGCGCTATGCGGAAAGTCCTGGCTCGTCAGGCTGGCCACTGTCCATTGCATATTTCGTAACTGGCATGGCAGTTGAAGATGAGCCGGGCTATATCCTAGTCAACTCTCAATCACGCAGGTCCGTGGCTGTCACTTATGGCGAAGTGCACTAGCTATTGCGTCCTGCAGTCATGGGGACAGAACTCGGCAGGGGTCCGCTAGGATGCGCACCAATGACGCAACACAGAAAGTCGAAACGCCGGCATCCGGTGCTTTTCCGGACTAGCTTAAGCCTGCTGATTGGGAGTGACGATTGTGAATTAATTGAATTAATAGGTAGATTGTAGATTATACTTTGCAACATCGTTTTGAGAAAAGAAATGAGAAAGGATGTTTCTAGTAGCACCAAGTGAGCTGATTAGGAATATGCAAACCAAAATTTTCCATCACGTCGGGTTTTTGTTTAATTCATATTTTTCCTTTCAGCTAAGCAGTACGTTCCATGCCTTGAAAGCTCGCCTTTGATCGGTCCAATTACTCTCAGTAATCGCAAAATGGAAGCTCCTTGGCCATGGTAACTACCTGATCCTGAAATCCGATTGAGTGCTGTGTTTCATTAATTGATATCGCGATCATGACTGGCGTATATAAGTGCTTCACCATGTCGGTTTCGGTACGTGCATGGACGATCGACGCGATGGCAAATAAATTCTCCAACGGATTCCTCTGAATCAACTACTTCCTCATGGAGCCAGCTTTCTTGCAACATAATGATTCCAACGTGCTAAAACTATTTTGAGAAAACAATATTTGATAGTTCCATTAATTTCTCCATGAGTGAGCAGATGTTTGTGTTAAGCAATACTTGGACGCTCAGATCTCTCTTCTTTTTCCATTCGAAGAGTAATTCTCCATCCAGTACGATGTTACCTAACAGAATTGTTACACTTGTTTTGAATTTATATTAGTTTGTTTCTGATAAAACAACCGTTCGAAAATGCACGAGTTACGAGCGTAGAAAAGCCTAGCGAAGTTAAACTATCGCGTGAGTAGATTTGCATCGCGGGAACGAGTGATGGATTAAAAAAGCACCGACAGAGCAAAATGGGTGATGTGAGAACGAGTGCGGTGATAAACGTCAAAGAGAGGAATCGTAGAGCACGGCCAAATTCGACGGCCCCCAGGTCTTCTGACGAAATCCACACTAGATCACGAATAACTGAGCATCAGGAATCTTATACTGTTGTAAGTGTACTTGCTTATCTTACTGATAAATCAAACTACATTTCTCGGACATTCAAGCAAGCCGCAGGATCCTTAAGAGTATGCTTTAATATCACTGACGAGGCAATGGTCTATGGAATGAAGTCCACTACTGTGTTATCTGCGGACTTCAAATGGGTCGCCTATTTCAACTAAGTGCTTTGCATAACCTGAACACTAATCGCTTTTCTGCCATTCAGACGAACACGTCGATCGGATTATTCATTTTGAGTGTGCTTCACACTGCTGATGTGTATAACGCTTATAGTTCATTTGTTTGTGTAAAAAGAACTGAGCGATCCCATCCAAGTAGACATCACAATAAACTTTTAATCCACACATGAACGTGGGATACAAAAGCCCAATAGTCAGTAACATCGTAGTCTAAAGACTAGTTATTCGCATCGGAATTGCCATTTCGGGAAATCCTTTACAGGCACGGTTGTATTTGCCTCTATTTCTAAATCATTAAAACGGTGTAGGTAGCGAGTCAGCTCAATAGATATTGTTCCGTAAACCACTACTTCGTGGTGTATGGTGGATAATCAGCTTCGTTAGAATTTCAACCTGCGTTTAGGCCGGCAAAACGTTGAAGATGGGTAAGTGGAGCGATCATTGATTTCGTGGAGAATAGACTAAGGAAAAATTTATATCTTCTCATGTATGGGTCCATGACATTGTAACAACCTATTATATCTTTCCAACCTACTCCCGTTTTTGCATAAACCCTGCAGTTGCATTTCACTGCCAGATCACACTAAAGAATCTGCTAGGCAAACACTCTTTCAGCAAAGCCTGACGTTGCTGGGCATTTTCAGCGGGCGCTATCGAAGGCTGCTCGGCGATCTCATATTAGCGTATCAGATATTGTGTGACCCCAACCACGTTTGCCGCCATTTGATGAAATTTAGCCACAACATGCAGCTAAGGGGTAACTGCCTAAAATTAAAGGACAATATACTGGTCTAGAGCGTCGACGTAATTACTTTTCCCTTTGGATTTGACAACCCTGGAATATACTCCCAGACTCAGTTGTATCATCCCCTACCTTGGACGTTTTCAAAAAAACGATGAAATATTGCTCTTAGCTCCCAGCATTTGATTATCTAAACTCCTCTATTGTGGGTTACGCCAAGCATACTTCTCTCCAGGATTTATGTATGAAATGGACCCAAGTGAGCGACCATATGTTACTGTTTTCAAGCCTTATATCAATGACCACTGCACTCCAGGGTATTTATGAGGGTTTACACTCGATATTTTAATTTGACACTGATGTTATTTGTCGAAGTATTCATCTCGTCAGACATTCGGTAGCTGACCGAGATATATTTTGTTTTCATCGTATGCACCACGGTCATCCTACGGGAGGTGTTAATCACTTTCATTTATCCCGTGATGTCATTGTTCATTGTACATTAAACAACGTAACAAACCGTACTGCAAAGAGAAACAACAGTGAATTCGAATTTGACGGCCCGATATGCATAGACCAGTCTTTTTGAAAACCCCCGAATGAATAT